CCCCCCCCCTCCTCTCACTTCCCAGCCCGTTTGATTTCACTGTTTTTTTGTCCTCGATTTTTTTTATTTTTTTTTGGAATCTCGTTTGTTATATTTTTATTTTTTTACAAATGATAACTTTCCCACTACCGGTAGCTATAGGCTCGGCAAGGCTCGCCAAGGCTCGCCATACCCGTAGGCGGAGGGTCGGACTTGATAGCTGGGTAAGGTACTGGTGGTTTATTAGGTGGTGTCATTTTCGGTGAAAACTTCACCGAAATTGCCATGTTTCCCTGATTTTTTTATATTTTTTTGTGTGTTATATGTATGTGCTTTTAACCACCACTACCTCCGAGCCTGTTTTTGCCGACCATGATTTTCACTGCGCACCATGTTTTGCCTCCGTTTTGTTTCTTTTCTGGTACTCTCCTGAATAAAAAAGAGAAAAAACACGGCAGGACTTTCAAAAAAGGACCCACTCGCAGCCGAAAAAAAATAAAAGAAAAAAAACAAACACCCCTTTGGACGTGATACCTGGTAGATACCTAGCCCAAAGTTGTTGTGTGAGTATGCCGTGAGTGAGGGCGTTACGGCAAGGGTGTCAGGTCCACGAAAGAAGGAAGAGGGAGAAAAAAGAATTGAAACTGAACTTAGGGTGGGAAAGCAGGTTCATACATTCTGCGAAGTAATCGTTTGGGCATGCCCTCCTCCACAAAGTGTCAGCAGCCCGTGGACTGCGCCGTGCCTCCCTCGCAGGGCACCAAAACGGAAAAAAAAAACGAAAACAAAAGACACAAACAACGAAAACCTGAGACTGGCCATTATAGCGGTTAGATACGAATGTGCGAGTTTTGGTGTGAGCACAACTTCGTGCACGGCTTTCCCGACATGATCTTTTGTTTTTCTTTTTGTTTTTCGAAGGGGCCCTCAAGGCCCAACTGCCGCCCCTTGTCCAACCCCCAAAAAGTTCGGAAAAGTGGGAAAACAGCCAGTTTTACAAATTTTCCCAAGAGTGACAGAGGTAGTGGTGGTTTAAGATATATCTGTATTGAGTTTCGACCATACTTGCGGTGCAGAGCGCACACACATGCACATGCGCGCACGTGATGCGGTGAACACACACACACACACCAAAAAAAAAATAAATTGAAAGGATAGGGTGGGGTTGCCAAACTTGCCCCTCGCTTTTAAAAATCAGAAAGCAAGAGGGGAAAAAGTCGGGGCCACGCCATACCCCAAAACTGTGGGCACATGTCTGCGCGTGTGGGTGTGCATGTCCTAATTGTGTCCAGTCTCTTTTCCAAAGGGCCCCTACAGCAAATTACTGAGGACGTCATGTGAGCAGAGATAGACTTTAGACTTCCAGTTTGTATGTGTGGGCCGAGAATATGGATTCGAATTCAGGTCTGTGCATTATGGGTCACTAATTCTCTTTTTTCTCGTTTTTCTTTTCTTAGGAATATGTGCAGTGGCCCTAAGGGCCTCTATTCACCACATCCACAACAGACAAAATATACGGCGGCGTATTATTCCACGTTCTAGCAGAAGATTCATTCTAATTATGCACATTTGGTGAGTAGTGCAGCCAAGCCCTGAGAATCACGTGCAGAGACCAACAGGGCCTAGCTAAGTGAGCAACCCATAACTGCTGAAACACAGACCTGAATTCAAATCCTGAGTATATATTCGGCCAGCTCGTGCTCCACTTTATATTCACTGCCTGCCTCGATTTGGTGGAGGGTCTGCGCTAAATTGCTGCGAGGACCCTTCAGATTACCTGCATGGACCCTCTGATACGTGTGAAGGAAATCTCTCTCTCTCTCTCTCTCTCTCTCTCTCTCTCTCTCTC